AACTTTCCTAAAGGACTGTACACGAAGGAACAAACGCGGGGCATAGCCGGTGTCCCCCACAAAGGGTTAACAATAGCAAACAGTTTAATGTTCCGTACGTTTATTGTATCTCGGCTACCGTGACTTTAACTCGGATCGGTAGCTGGGAGAAAGGGTGAAAGGAGTTAAGAAGGAAGGAGGGCGGGTAGTGGAGGGCCCGAAGGTGGAAAAGGAGATCGGAACACCGGGACAGATCTGTTATTCTGTTAGACTCTGCCCGTTCGCCGGTGACATTTGAATGCTCGCTCGATTTTACGTTGCCGAAGGGACACGCCAGAAGGAGAGCGTCGCGTCGGCGAGGAACGAGGACCTTTGGTATACTTCGGGTTTCTCACTGCCCGCATCGTCGTGTTCAACCTCTTAGTTTTTCGTTCTTGCAAACTTAGCAACAAACAATAATTGCAATTATATATATTTATTCGAAAAAATAAACTTATCAGTGAGATTCAGAACTGTTGGAATAAATAAAGGGAATGGTGGAGCGAAATCGATATTTGAAGGGTGAAAACGCATCCTTCGCCGCGTTTAATCGCGAATTCCGCTACGTTCGCCCCAGATACGCCGTTCAAAGGACATGAAAACGGAAGAGGAGGAGGAGGAGGGAGGAACTGGAGGAACGGATAGACGATTCACCGTAATTACCGCAGTATCTCCTCGCGAGGAGATTCGTTCGGCTGGCAAAGTACGAGAACATTAAAGGTCTGAGCGAGATAAAACCGTGGAGAAATTCCTCGCGAGAGAGGAGAGAATCCCAAGCGGTGATACGGCTTCGCGGGTCAAAAATTCCACGGAATCTCGGGAAAAGGCGAGTGGCGGCTGTTGCCGCAATTGGTCATTGGGCGATTTTTGCCGGCATTCATGCGTCCGTTCTCGCTGTATTTATTGGAAAGGTTTCCCTCGTACCGATCCGCTATATGCATGTACGTATACCTATACGCAGGGGTTACGCGTATCGTATGCTCCTCTTCTCGTTCGATATTCTTCTCTTTATTTACGGTCGCGTCCCGCGATTTATCTTCTCTCTTGTCTTCCCTTCTGTTTTTTCTTTCGCGATTGGTCGCGTACGCTCGGCCGTATCATCCGCAATTAGAGCGGGACTCGATGAAACGCGTTGGTAAACGCGCTGCGATGCAGATGCGATTCGATCCGATCCCATTCGATTCGATTCGAAGGAACGAATTTACGTACGAACGATCGATCGATCGGTACGATCTATGCGTTGCGCACGAATCGGCGCATCCAGCGCGATAAATCGCGAGCCGGTTAAACAAATCACTCGACGAGATCCGCGATCGATGGTATCTACCCGCGTGAATCCTTCGTGCTCGCGACATAATTCCTGCAATGGCGGCCTGTGGCTCGCCGCGCCGTGCGGCCATGCCAGGATTACACGCTTACATAATCTAACGTACCGATTAATCACCCCGCGATTTACGAGGGATTTGTAGCCGCGTGCCCGACCGGGCTTGCGCGTGCGCGCACTAGTTTGCGCATAAATCAACTGAATGCGATGCCCGGTATCGATACCGTGATTCCGCGATTTCACCTACCTACCATATCTTCCATGTCAGAACATAAAACGTACCGTAGAGGTGCTGCTCCTTTTCGTGAACCGCTGCCTCGCTCGTTTTGCAATTGGCATGGTGATCGCTTCTAGAAACGTTTCAGGGGAACGTCATCCGTTTATGGATGAACGTGGCGATTCGTCGCGTCGCCTCGGACATCGCATTTTATCGTGACCCGCGTAGGGACAAGACAAGAGTTACGCGTGTCCCGTTAAGTTAAACGGTGTCGCGAAGAAGGGCAACGCAACGGCGGCTCGTGGACAAATACCGTGCGATGAATGTCACCTTACATCTTATGCCCCCTCTTCAGTGGTGAATAAAAGGAGAGTCACGATTTTATTAGAAGACATTCGCATCGGAAATATTATGCTCAATCTTAATTGACCAATGCATACGTTTGTACGTTCGAAATTTATGCGTACATTAATGGACTATGACATTTACGAAGAAAACGTTATCTCGCAGGCAAAAATTATTTATAGCTGTACGGACAAGTTTTTTGTTGATCGCGTGCAGTAAACGGATCCGAGGACAATCCTTCGATGTCGTACGCTTAAATAAGTAATGACATCACCGTTACTCTTATCGCCATAAACCAAACGAGTGGACGCGGACAGCTTGTCTCAATAAAAACAAGAATATGTGTATTAATATTTCATATCTCGATAGCGGACTTGAATTAACTCGTCGTTTATATGATACTTCTTGCTCGGTATCTCGTTAATACGCTGTTTACATTTGTTAACTCGTTCGCAAATTATTCTTCGCCGGCTAATGAATGCGAATAAAGGGAAGAAAATGTAAACTAATAATATCCTATCTGGCCAATAAATCTCGCCGAGTGTTTTAACACTTTGTCCATGCTATCTAGAAAATATCGACGAGAGATTGTAATCTGGACGCGAGTCAGAAAAACTGGATGACATTTCGCCTCGGATTTTGAAATACGTACATATGGTTGCCGCACGGTTACGACGGTAACAGTAACAGTGGAATGGGGCGTACCGGCTGGGAAATTAAATCGGTATGGTGAAATGGTTCGCGAGTAAACGTGAAAATCAGAAACGATGCAGCGAGGAAAAAAGAAGAGTGAAGATGACGACGACGAAGAAGAAGGAGGAGGAGAAGAAGAAGACCACTCGCAATTAAATACGGCGTAAGTCTCGCTCCGAGGATAATGCCTCGGAATGCTGATAATTGGCTGAGCCGTCGGGGCGACCCGAGACGATGGGCGCGTTCCGTGCACCTGGCAGCGCACGGCCACTGCAAGATCATCGGCTCGCGATCCCTCGTGTCTAATTGATTCCAAGTGATTTATATTACCTGCTGCTCCTCTCCGCCTCGAACATTCCTGGCCCTCCACGCCACCGTTCGCCACTCTTTTACTTTCCTTCTCCGCCACGAATCGTTTTCGATACCCGGAGACCCGATATACGCTTTGGCCCTCGGACGAATATCGGTGATAGTCGGCCACTCTTGGAAAAGTCCGTTAGGACAAAGATAGGCTAAATACGCGTCTTTGATACTTGAAAGATTTAGCAAGCGTAGAAGAGGTACCTTCAATTAATGGTACTTCAATCGCGTATATCATTCGACTTTTATAAAAAAGTGTTCTATACGTATATTCAATAATAATCGTCTGCGACTCGATTTCTATACGACTGATCAATCAGATAAAGCCGGAAGCTAGTCCAAGGAGAGGAAAAGATAAGGCGGAAGAAGGATAAGGGAAAGGGAGCGCGAACGGGCGAGGAAAGAACTCTGAACGGTAGAGCGGGTAGACACGAAACACGGTCAGGGAATACGCACGAGGACGGGGCCTTTCGCTCTCGAACCTCGATATCAGATCGCTCGTATAAAACTATCGTATCGTTTAAATACGCACTGAAAGGTGAGGCGATGCATCGGAAGATACGCGACCAGTGGCAGGCTGCCTGCCTTCTTCTTCTTCTCCTGCGTTTGGTCCGCGTCTTCTCGTTCCGTCCGTCTGTCCGTCCAGCCGCGTGTCGATCCGCGCCGAAGATACCTGGCTGGAATCCATGGGAACCGAGTTTAACGCCGAGTTTAATCCCTTCCCGGGCTTCACCGTGAACCACACCGCGCCACGCTGCTCCGCGTTTCTTCCTCGGCCGCTGGAAGTTCTCCTTGGCACGGCAGGCCCCGTTTCCAACTTCTTCCTTCTCCGCTATTTCCTCTCGTGTTTCCTTTCCACCGATGCGCGATGTCCCGGCCAGATTTCGAAGGCGCGGCATTAGTATTCGCGGCTGGTTCTCGCTTAAACGTTCGAAAAGGGTAATTGCCTCGCGGCGCGGAAATGCACCGAGGGAGCCAGCGCGGGCACCGATCCGATCGCCGACAGATACCGCGATACTTTGACGACCGGCGCGCCGCGATTCCGCGCCCCGGGGAAAAAGGAATCGATAATTGGACCCGCATTCCGCCTCACGATTATAAGTTAATCCGCTAACGGGCCCGCGTGGAACCGCACCGGTCCTCTACGAGATTCTATCTGTTTTCGTGTTGCAAACTTTGACGAAAAATTATCGCGAACGCTGCACCCTGTCTACGGACAATCTTCAGAATCTCGTCTGTGAAACGTTATCATACTACATCTAGCAATCAAATGTAATTAACGTATTCTTAGATTAGATAGATTCGAAGCGAGAAGCTATTCGAAATCTCAATTCGTTGAGATCGAACTGGACAGAAATCCGCTGAACGTAAATTGCAGGTTTAAGAGAAGGGAGAGATTTGCAAAACCCGGATGCCGTGTGAGAGACAATGGACGACAGGGAGAGAGACGTTGGACGTAGGCGGTAGTGATCTGGCTGTTTTGAAAAGGGGTGGAACTCCAGCCGCGCATTGTCCGGCTAATGATGGAGTGGAGACGTGACAGGTGAAACCGAATACATACGCCAACGGAATCCGGTGACGCGACGCGACGTCCTGGTTTCTCCCTGCTCTCAGAGAATCTCGACGACGCGACCGTCCTCTTCGAAACGTCGTACCCTGACGCGACTAACTTCTGCTCACGAAGTCCTTCCGTCTCAAGAACGTTCTTTCCTTCGTAGATAGAATTCCGGAGGCATTTAAACGATTTTCAGCTTTGGAAGGAAGAATCCGTTCTAACTCTGAATGCGTCTGCTCGCATTCAGCCAAGGAGATTTCGATTAATTGACTTATCCTCCCCTCATAAATTGCCCCGGTCGCGCCCCTGATCCGATTAGTATCTTTCGTATAATCCAGAACGGGTGCCAGACATCGTGAAGTTCCTTGCAGTGGATGGAGTTCCTTAATCCATTGACAGGCAGTTCGTCTCTTATTCAATTTGAAAGAGTTCGAGTTTGTTCGTCGATGCTTTAATTTAAGATTTCGAATTTATTCGGATGCTTGCAGATTCCAGAGAAGCAGGCTTTGTGAACGCGATCACCTCGGCTGGGGTCACTTACGCAGTTACCAGAGCTTGCACTATGGGATACCTCGTGGAATGCTCTTGCGACAAGGCTGTATCGAAAGGTAAAAATGATTAAGAACGATGTTTAATTCCAATCTTCCGGTTATGACCAATTCGGATTTGTCGAATGATAAATTGCGTAGGTAATCGACTCCGAAAATTGATCCGAACTGTCGAGACGGAGAAGGCTTTGCCGACTGAGGGTGACTGGGAATGGGGCGGATGTGGAGACAACGTAAAATTCGGGGTGAAGAAGTCACGCGACTTTATGGACGCGCCCTATCGAAAGCGCAGCGACATCAAAACTTTAGTAAAGCTGCATAATAACAACGCTGGTCGTCTGGTAATTGTTTGGCTTAATTTAATTCATTCAATCACAGTTTGGACCGGAAATCGTAGTAAAGAGAAAATAGGAAATAATTATAATATTTGCACAGTCGATCAAGATAACGATAATCGAATCTCAATTTCAAAATTGATTTTCTTGGACATCCGCATTTAACTAGAAAAATGTTATCTTAAAACATCTTATTTTTTCACCCCCTGCTCTACATATCCCTCCTTGTAGTACGATTTCCGCTCTACTCTGTTCGTATTATGCGAAGATGTATTTATTTAGATATAAAAAATTAAAACAGAGAATGAATGACGTCCGTACTTAAGGAAGCTGGAATCAGTGAAACGAGATATTGCTCTGAATAATCGCATTCCGATCTAAACGCGTCTGCAATTGTTAACATATTCGCGATAGATTTGTTTTTGTTTTCTGTTCACAGGCAATCAGGAACTTTATGATGACCGAGTGTAAATGTCACGGCCTCTCGGGCTCGTGCACGGTTCGTACGTGCTGGCGGAAAATGCCGGCGTTCCGCGACGTCGGGAACAGGCTAAAAGAGTCGTTCGATGGCGCGGCCAAGGTTATACCGAGCAACGACGGGCACAGCTTCATCACCGAGGGTCCGACCATCAAGCCGCCGGACAGATTCGATCTGATTTACAGTGAGGACTCGCCCGACTTCTGCAAGCCGAACAGAAAAACGGGCTCGCTGGGCACGCAGGGACGCCGTTGCAACTCCACCAGCCAGGGAGTCGAGGGCTGCGAACTGTTGTGCTGCGGCCGCGGCTACGACACGAGGATCGTCAGAGAGAAGACCAATTGCGCGTGCAGGTTCCACTGGTGCTGCGAAGTCACTTGCAACACGTGTCTCGTTAAGAAAACGATCAACACTTGTCGCTGACGAAGCCGATTACAGGAAATCTTAGCGCACGCCGAGAGACTATTTTGTGCGGGTTCGTGCTTAGACATCATAGGTATGTATGGAAGCACCGTATACTTCTTCCAAACGATATTATGGTTTTATTGAAATGTGTATACTTTCTAAAAGCCTATTACGCGATCTTGATTGGTGTTACTGCTTTGAAAAGATTTCCAATGTGGGTCGTATCTCGTTCGTTTGACCGTGATGAATCAGTATAAGTGTTTGTAATATAAATAAGTGATACGTCGTTTTGCGAAGAGTTTAGCTGTAAGCAACAGCTGTGCACGATCGTAGAATCGCGCAGCGTAGGAGGTACTGACGTGCCTCCTAGCGTTCGAAGCTTTCCAGGTATCTCCAGTCAGTTTCGTTTCCAAGCGTTTTCGCGGTAAACCATTCGCGAAAATTGATCGCTTTTCGCGCTTACCTATCTCGATATGCCTCGTTTCCGTCTCTGCTTATTCCCCCTTCCCCCCTCTTCCTTATGCTTACATTCTTCTGTGTATATAAGACTGAAACTTGATGAAATGTACTGTACACTGTAATTTGCGAATAAAAACGTGTATTCCCGGATTATCTTGTTCCATGTTCCTTATTCTATGCGATAAATGGTTGCGGAATAGTACTAATTCATCATGGTCTACTCCAGGGTGCTGTATTTCTTCTTTATGTATGGAATTGAGTCCAGGTGAGTGAAACATTTATTTCTTTATTTTTAATAAGTTTATCGTACGACGCACGCAAACCATTCGTGAATTTAAATCAATTTTAAGAAATTAATTTACATCGATCAACTTCATTTTATTCTATAATTATTTAATTTTCATGAACCTGAATTTTTCTTCCATTAGAATTCCATTAAAAATACTCATTCATGAGAAAGTTGTTCGAACTGTAGACTCATATATCAGTGCACTATTTCTTACGATGTAGAAACAAGAAAACGAATCACGGTCTGATCAAACGTGAACAGCTCCGCGCGAACAGCGAAAGCCTGATAACAGCGGACGCGGAGAAAATCGGCAGGAGACGTTGGAAGAGGCCTCGTATATTATCGCGTTGTGTAGAACACAGGCTTTTAGCTGTAATTCGACCTTGTACACGGGAGAGGTCGTGCAAGCAATAAACAACCGGTGTCTACATCTCCTATAAAATAGTTTTACGGCGAGGAGAACTGGCGAATGGAATTTCGCATAACCATAAAGCTTGGGGGCGAGAGAAAGACGAGGTTCACGTCGCATCGCGACGCAGCGTCCGCCACGTTTCGGCGATAGCGGAAGCCATAAACACCACTTCTAAAAGAGAGAAATCACCTTTTTCCCCCTTAACGTGCGCCTCCCTCGATCCGGTTCGCGCCCCGGTCTGTTGGACGTGAAAATTAGCACGCCGACTATTGTGGCAACTATATTTATACAGCAGTAGCTCCGAGAAGAGATTCGACCTCTAATCCACCATCCGTCGATGACAAGCCAGGCTTTTAAGCAATAAAATTTACGCCCACGTGTAAATTTCAATAAATTAACGCCAGACCGAAGAAAAAGAAACATATATTTGTGTTCTCGTTTACTGTTGCGCTATTAGAATACGATTGAACTATGAAAACGTAGATATGGTGCGACATTTCATATGGTCATTATCGATAAGCTCGAACTTTGAAACCAGAGATAAGTTAAAATAAACTGACGTGCAATCGACTGATCTTTCGAACTGAAATAATTAAGTGGATTTACGTTCTTATAACTATCGTAGAATAACGTCAACATGAATTCTCGTATTAGCGGTCGCGAAAAACGATAGTAAGCGGAGAGGCGACCTAGGGAGCAGGGATCAAGGGTCCTCGAGAAAACTCGTTGGGCAGGGGTTAAGTAAAAAATTTAGGATCGTGCTTACACCCTCCAATTTAATACGTGACGCGGTAGTGCGTGCGTACGTGCGTGAGCGCGCGAGAAGAGGCCGCGTAAAGGTCTCTTAATAGAGAGGTCGACCTCTTGAGGGTAGGAAAGGTGGTGAGCTACAATTAGCCCCACCAGCGGCCAGCTTCGTCCAGGAACGGACCGTGTCTGGGCATCTTGATTAGCCCATGGCCAGGAGATTGGTCTTTGGTCCGACTGGGTGGTCCGACCAGGGTAATTTTCGACTGCCGTCGACGTTCCCCTTTTGAGGGGAAAATGGCCCCGTCGAAATTGGCCATGAGGTTAGTGCGCAACACAAACACGGTCGGCTCATAACTTCTTCCTTTCGTCTCACGGCGCGCCATTTTTATTTCCACACTGGAGACATTTCTCGGTGGTAATTCAATTTGGAATTATGGCTATATACATACGTAAGTACCTAACTTAAGAGGTTTTAATGAAATTATCTCACCGATTCGGGCATAACACTTGAATTAGTGATTATCGTTTCGATTTTGCGTTTATTGCTGTTTTAAACAATAAAATTATACGTATATACTTCTTAATCGTCTATTTGCCTGCTATAAACTCCACAGTTTTTATTTCAAAAGCAATTTCATGTTTTATTATATAAAAAATATAATAGCTGTTCGCAAAACTATTATATTAAATTAATTGCAGTTTTAATAGTGGACGCATAGCTCCGTGCATATATGCAGTGGAATCCCACCGTTGCTTTAATGTCGAAAAGTATTGCAAAGACATAAACATGACAGGTCCGTACGCTCGGCACACGAAACAAGTGAATGGAGGCGCGGAAACTCTCCCACGGGAAGAACGGATCGTTCGAAGCACCGTTCCCGGAACGATTAGATCCGGAACAATGGGGCCCGCGGAACGCACGTGGGTCGGTGACGCGCGACACAAAACCGCAAAACGCGACCGTGATTAATCGCGCTGTTCACCCTCCAAGGGATAGGGAGAGTCGAGTGTCGGGAACGCGACCGTCGCGTCGTCGCTTATTCTCTCGTCTCTTCGCTTTGTCGCTATGCCCCGTTTCTGTCGAGGCTCTGCCAGTTTCCGCTAGAAAATGACGAGTTAAGTTTCTCTTCCAGAATGCAATGGAGATTTCCGATCAATAGAATTGGGTAAATAGGTGAATCCGATGTTTAATCGATTCAAATCTTTAAACGAAGTCGATGTATCATATCGTGATTAATTAAACAATTGCTGAGTGATTAAATTAAACATTCCTGGAATCCCGAAATAAAGCCAAGCGTTTGCAAAATTTCTTTAAACCCAACTTGGTGAAAGTGAGATCCATCGTAAGAATGGAACAAATAAGAGAGCAAAAAAATCGTGTAAAAGTTAAGAACGGGTCCTCGCGTTTGCGTTAGATGGTACAAGTTGCAAGTGTACGGGGGCAAGACACGGTAAAGGAGGCGCCGAAGGTGGTCGGTCGTTCGAAGCCGGCCGCGCTGGCCCGACGCCAATATTAATTAAACGATCCCATAAGCGCCTAACAAACTGGCTGTACGTTAGGCGGTTTATTGGGGTCCCCAAGCGGGACGTTAAAATGTTCCAATCTTAATTAGGTAGGTGTTTACAGGAGGATAATTCCACGGCCCTCGAGCCCGGTGCACCGTTCACCGTTTTCTACCGGACGCGGGCCACCGGCCGCGACCGCCTCCTCTCCTCTTCTTCTTCTTCGCCGTCCTTACCCTCCCCCTCCTGTTTGTCCTCCACCCTTCCACGTAATATTCTTCGAAACGATATTCCTCCGATGTCCACCAAGACGTTACGCTCTTTCCCTGCGTTCCGCCTTGCCTCTTACGCGCCCTATTCTCCGGCCAACTTTGCTTCGAAGGACGAAGGACCGTGCCACGAGGTAGATGGAGGAGGTCGTTGAAATCTTTACGGTTCTTCCAGCTTCTTGGAATTTCTCCTTTCCAGCCCTCCCGCCTATTCCCTTTGCATTCCTCTTCGTATCTCGCTTCGATGTGGGTACTGGTCTTGCGTAATTAGCCACGCGTTTCCTTTTTTTTCCCCCTACGACCAGAAGGGGGTTAAGACGGACGAGTAATTTTCGTTCGGAATGCGCACCGGATGAGCTTTCGTCGTCCTTCCCCGAGTTTAATTTTCGTCGCTCGGATTGTTTGATTTTCGCGAAGACGTTCCACTCGCGAGTTAAGCGAGAACGCTAATTCGCGCCGATTCGCGAAACATTTAGAAGCGATTAGCATTAGCGATGCGACGCAACCTTCCGCGTTCCTTAGTCGCGGAACGCTCGCGTTTCTTCCTGATTCAATACGCGTTATTCCATCTATGTATAGCGTACATGTTACTCTCCTCTTCTTTAAGCTATCTTGTGTTCAACTATTTCCTAGGTAGCGTGACGAAAATGTGGGGAAGAAAGAAGTTTTCATTAGACTTTTAATGGACGATCACTGTACGTGATATTATCATTTAATTTTATAATATACGTTGTCGTATGACTGGATACTGCAAAACAGAGGGTTAAAACGAAAGCGGAAAATCGGTGTTCTCGAGCAGCAGACCCCAGGCATCGATGCTTATCGCTCGGCGATCGACGCGCGGATATAAATTCGATCCGCGCTGTGAGATTTACGCGGATCGCGGAAAATCAGTTAAGCCGAGGCAACGTTTCGGCGATAACACCGGGTATGTATAACGGGCGAGGAGGGACTGAGGGAAATTACCGTCGCGAGGTACTCGTAACTTCCCGTTTAGCCCGAGAGAACGCGAGCCGTGCCGAGCCGTATCGTAATTATCGGTCGCATAATATCGGTGAATTTATTCGATGGGATTTTTCTGCAACCGATAGCAATTTTGTTTTATCCACGTGGTATGTAAATGATAATACCTGCTGCTCTTTCTGTTTCATTTTCCTTCCACCAATTTAATCTTTTAATTTCGTATTTGCTAATAGAGATTACTATGAATAAACAAGCAGATAAATATTGTATAATAATACACGGATAGGTAAACGAATAATTATATGCCATGTGGGATTCAGTTTCTATTCTTGAGGATCCTCCAGGGATCCGTGGAGCTAAATTTTTCTGACATTTCTATTTTCCTCCCCTATTAGATTTAAGGTGTTGAATGTTCCGAATGGTCCGTCGTTTGCTCGAAACGCAGAGAATCGGACTGAACGCGCGGACGTCTCGAAAGGGGAAGGAACGAAGGCTAGCGGAGCGGCAGCAGGACGATAAATATCTCTGTGCGGTCGCGTTGCGAGCACACGACATTGTGGGCAATGGTCGTAAAGCGACGTGTTGCCGAGCCCTTCCTCCGTTCTCCATCTCTGGCCGTCCTCGTGGCCGGAGCCCCCGTCCTCTGCTGCACGCGCGTGTATGTGTGCGTTTCCGATGCCAGATTATACGCGCTGGACCGTGGCACCGACAACTTCATCCGCGGGGCGCCTCTGATTTATCCTTATTAATAAAACTTTAAAGTGCTGTTAACATGTGCCGGAGGGTGGCGGTGACGGTGAACGCGCCGCAGAAACCGGCATCGAAGGTTGGGACGACCAACTGAACGGAACAGGCCCACGACTGGATAACTATTGCACTTCCTCAACCACACGCCGTTGCGTTCTCCGTTACCGTTTCCATCTCTGGTAGTTTCCTT